GTGGCTGGGAGTGGGAGGGAGGAGGGGCGGAGTTAGGGCGGGGAAGGGGCAGAGTTGGGGCGGGGCTAGGGGTGGGGATATAGGCGGGGCCAGGGCCCGTGGAGGGTCCTCTCTTTTTATTTATTAGATATGGTAACCCTATTGTAGTATGTTCTGTAGAGTCTGCGGGGAATGATTACTGTGCTTTGTTTAACAATAAACCTGGCCAGGTGCCTTCGTACCTTATCGGGGTCTGCTGTGTCAGCTATCTGCGCAGAGCCGGGGCAGCACACAGTGGAACACAAACACACAGCTGACTGTTATCATCATTGAACAGAGCAAAGCACCACACTGGTGGCATCTGACGACATTGGTGACCCTGATCTCGGATCTGGTGAGTAAGCGAGTTGTTCGCTGTAGGTATCACGATCTAACATGACAGAAAACCATGAGCTAGGGAACCCCCTTAATCCCTCCCTGCAAATCCCAATAGAGTTTAAAAAATATAATGGGGAAGAAACATGTAATGTAATTTGTAAGGCTAGGGCAGAGACTGTAATCTTAAAATGTAAAATATTGAAAATTATAAACATAGCTGTTAAATGGTTAAAACAGCATGCCACAAAATTGGTGGGGCAAGTAACAATAACGAAGAAAGAGTTAAAAGAATCAAAAGAAGCTACAAAGCCCTGGAATGCTCCCACTCCCCTTGCAGGGTGGCAAGCAGCCCAGAGACTGCTAGCACAGGAACAGAATGAAACATCGGAAACAGCTGCAAGGAACCTACAAAAAATACATGTACCTTCCCCTGTGATAAATATTGGTGATCAACAGCAGGCTTCGGGTAGCTCCCCTGTCCCTGAAGAATGGGGACAGGAGTGGAAAAAGGTGGCCCTAGTAAAATTAAAAGATGAAATGGGGTCCACTGCAGTGCAACCACTACCTTATGATAAAAGCCAGGTTCTGGTACAACCTAAACTGGGACCTAGACTGATGCTTGTCAGAACGGGACAAGTACGTGCACAGATGGAAAAATTAGCACACAATACTTTCACTGAATTGGTAAATCAAATGAAAGAAAATATGGAACAGTTCACAGAGCGCATTAGGAGACAGGACCTGTGACTCGATCACAGGGGAGTGAATAAAAAGGAATTTCAAAGTAATAAAACAAAAATTAAGCAGGTTAACACCTAGAATTGATGCATTAACACATGGAGTTGCCCCAAAACAGTCAACTGCAGCAAAAAAGGGCACTCCCGCCATCCATTTGGCATGCAGACAAAAGCAACAGACACTGGGGGAACAAATTCAGGTTTTACGAGAGCACTACCCCCACTCTCCTCTCAAAGACAGGATAAAAACCAGGGGCACAGTTCCCAACTGTGCAGGTTCCCAACTGCTTTGACCCACGGAGCCACGCTCCGCGCTCATATCTAAAAACAGAACTTTCTTTCTCAAATATTTTTACATACCGTTTTTTTCCTTTATATGCTATCTCAGTTTGCTAAACTCACTGCTGCTCCCCTTACTTTCAAATACCTTGATAGAGTTAATCTCTTTTGTCTTAGGTCTCGCTACCTTCCTAGGTTGCTCTTCACACCCCCACACCTCTTTTCCCCCGCCTCTCCTCACTTCGACTCTTTCCCTGTGTTAAATGTTAAGTTATAGTTTTTACAGAAACCTCCAAAAGATAAAGCACTTGAAAACACAACAAAACAAGAAAGAAAAAGAAAACAAGGTAAAAACTTTACTTTAAATAAATCCAGTAAATTAATTATTTTAACCTTCAGGAATGCAACAGCTGGAATTATTCCTATCTTTCTTGAAGATATGGTTGCCAAGCAACAGAAATGCACACTCTGTTTCTAATTCTAACCACTAACTAATATTTGAAACATGGGCTTTTCTTTTTTCCATATAGCAGAGTTTTAAAATAATGTTAAATATAAAGTAATGCAAAATTCCTTGTTACCAAATTAATACAATAAATTTGGAAAATATTAATATAATTTTTATCATTTTTTGTTAAAAGTTTTAAGTAAGGTCATAACTTGTTTATTCAAATGTTTAAACCTTTTAATTTTTTGTTTTTGTTTGCCTTATTTTGTACAGTTATGAATAGAATTCCAGCACCATTTGTTTTTAACAGTAAGTTTGTCCTGTACGTCATGTGCATTGTCCAGTGTTGTATGTTGTGTATGTCACGTGACTATTTTTTATTATTTTTATTTTGTTGCAATAAAAGTCAATTTTATACACTTTTAGAAATATATGTATATGTGGTACCACACTATTTTAATATTATGGTTGGGGAATAACCATCATAATATTATTAATACCATTTTTTTTCAAAGTTCAACAAGGTCTCAATTATAAATATATGTACATATATTTCTGTATCAACAAATGATGAAATTACAAACAAAAATAATTCTCTTTTATTAATCACAGTTTTGTTTTGTTTTTTATGTTTTTATGTTTTTATGTTTTATTCAAAGAAAAAATGTAAGGGAAAACCTCAACATTAAGATAAAGATAATATTAACAAAATGTCAATTTCTTGTTTGAGTTTTTATAAACTTGTTTGGTGTTGGGTTTTTTAAACTTGTTTTCACTTTTAAATATAGTTATAAGAATGTGATAGCAAAAATGTTTAAAAATAACAATTTATGCATAAAGCTAACCAAACAATTTCAACAGGTTTCCACCTTTGGCTCCCAAACATAGCAAAGCATCATGAAAGTATA